CGGAAGACTTTCGAAACGTCGTCCTCTACACTTGTCTTTCTTCAACAGGCAGTTGCCGTACATTCAACAAAATTTCATCATGAATACTCTGCCTAAACAATCTATCAAAGAAAAAACCTAATAATACTTAATGTAATTTTTTTAAATTATCTTTCCTTTAGATACAGTTATTACTAGTTTGTCCTATTTAAAAAATTTCATCTAACTATTTAAAAAAATAAAGTGTTATAGAAAAATGAGGTTATTAGCTTTTGCTTACGTTGGTGTATGATTAGCATGCTGGATTGTGGAGCTGAAGTTCACATTGAACTCGTCACTTTGATGAGCTGTGTGTGCGTGTTAAGAGTGACAGTCAGATCCCATTAGTCTGACAATAGTGGGTGGTGTTTATAAACTGGCTTCCCTCTAATCAACCCTTTCACAATTAGAATCGGTTAATACAGATGACCCTCGTGTAGCTTTGCAAAGAAAAACTTATTTTTATTTCTGGCGGATGAATTTTCATCTTACAAATTTTTGCTACAGCCAAATTTCCACTAATGTTAACCGCGTTAATTGAATGTTGGATCGTTTTCTACTGCAAGTTTACCATAGTTGTTTATCTACGTGAAAACGGTGACTTCAAATGTTTTTTTTTTATCAATCTTATTTCCAGCATTAATACTACAAGATGAAAAAAAACATGAGAGCTATTTTTGTAGCCAAAAAACAACCGGAACATTTTTCGTATTTCGGCAAAATCCAGCTAAAAAATCTAGAGCGCCCTGTCAACACGCACACACACTGGCATAAGAAGAAAATGAATATAGAAGCACCTGACATCACAACAAGCATTTTTGATGTTGTTTAAAACTGAACTCTACTATTAGGTCGTCATCGCGTATAATGGTTAAACGAACCGCCTAAACATCACGTCAGTGTAGCATATTTAATGTGTAAAGTTTAGTATACTCTAATCCCATATAGTGATGGCACACGACGAGACACATATTCGGCATGTTATGCTGTTTGAATACAAGAAAGGAAACAACGCCTCTGTAGCTACAAAGAAGTTTATGGAAATGTTTTGAACGTTCATAAGTGTCAACGATGGTTCAGTAAATTTCGTTCAGGTGACTTTAGCCTTATAAACCGTGATGGCAGGGGCCGACATGTTGGAATTGATAATCTGAAGACGCATGTTGAGTCTAACCCAAGGCAACACACTCGTGAAATGGCCCTGAAATTGCGTGTCTGTTATGAAACAATACGTAAACATCTAAGGAATATGGGAAAATTCCATAAAGAAGGTGTTTGGGTGCTTCACGAACTCTCCGATGAGCATCGTTTCCAACGTGTGAACGTTGCTTCGTCTCTTCTGGCGCGTAATGCGCGTGAACCATTTTCAGACAGAATTTTCACCGGTGATGAAAAATTGATTCTCTACGAGACTATTAAACACCAGAAACAATGGCTCAGTCCTAGACAAAAACCACTTCCGACCCCAAAACCTGGACTCCGTCCGCAGAAAGTGATG